CGGAAAGTGAGCCAACGAAATAGAACTGGAACCGGTCCGACTCGGACTCCATGTTGAAGTCAAGCAGTCAGTGAGAGGGTGCACGAGAGAATAAACTGAATGGCAGATAAAAACGGTCCTTGCATGTGTGTGTACACACACGCATGCATGCAAGCAAACAACTCTAGGGTGATCAAGCTGTTGCGAATTCCCACAGCAGTGTAGAATCAGTTTTCCAGCCTCCTAAATGGCTAACAATATCGGTGACAAAATTGGGTCTGCCTCGGGTCTTTGATTATCTCTCACCAAAATTGGCCTTCAAAAAAATAATGACTGCGTAGGTGAGTGTGGAGCAGAGTTGCAGCACCATTAGCCGCCCCTCAGCGTCCGCATTAATCGCGTTAAAAAAGGAGGTAAAGGAACATGTCAGGTAGCGTTAGATCACGAAAGCTCACGGGGTAGTCTGATGGTGTTTGCTATGTGACCGAGTGTTCACGGGTAACGACATTCGCCTGCGTATAGGTAAAACGAAAGAACTTATACCTAAGCATTGCATTCTTGAATGCTAGCCTTCTCTACTGCATTTGTACAAGAACACTTAAGGCGTGACGCACATGGTTTTGCAAATTATGAGTAAGAGATGAAGAAATTCAGGAAACGCCCCTTAGAAGTGCGCTACTGACAGGTGTTTACTAATAAAATACAAATACTTGTATGCCTTTGTGTGACAGGGAGATTCGCATAAGAAGTTAAGGAATCACACACTCACCGAGGTTGAAGGTCCTTTGGTCTATAGTGTTTCACTGAAATGCAAAAACACATAGTAGACGAAGTCGTTCCTCATAAACTCAAAATGAATGTCACTAACAAAATTGGGACAAAACTGGATTACAAAATTCTCATAAATTTAGGGTTAATTTCACTGCCTCCAGTTGGTACATGTATATACTAAATGATAATTCGCAAACGGTTATTCCCAGCTAGACACGGCCAACTGATTCAAAAATCTAAAGTACCAACATAAACCAAACTGTACATAAACCTCAACCCTTAAGGCTTGATCGCCATCCCCATTCGAAGGAAGAATCACGTCGCTGATCTAGAGGCGGCCCAGATGGCATGCTCAGAGAGCGCATTAACCAATTCGAGAGAGTTAAGAAGCCTCCTAGAATATATCGTAGAACTGGGTTAGGGTCTACGATGGAAGTACCACCGCCACCATCACTGCCTCCCGATTCTGTGCACCAACAGTTGCTGCGGTACCAAACCAGACCACGAATGCATTGTTCCCTTCATCACATTCCTTCGAAATGAAATTACGCCCCTGTGCACAAGCGGCTGCCTTATTACGCGTTCGCACATATTCCAAACACACATATCCTGAATGTTCGTATGATCTCAAAGTCGTAAGCAGAACACATCGGTCATACCGCCAGCATCGACAGAGGGCTGTTCGGGTCCGTTGGATGGAGTGGCAGCGGTGGCAGAGTAGGTATTAGAAGCAGTAGAAGTGGCGGTGGTACTAGTGCTAGTCTGACCAGTGAGCGACCGGCCCATGTTGACAAAGGCGCGTTTGAGTGCAGCGGGTAGGGAACTGGTGGCAGAGTAATTGGAGGAAATAGAAGCATTATGCGAGCCTGGTGTCGCCATGGGAATCTGTTGTTGCGGGTGGTGCGCTCGCAGACCCGGTTGGCGTCGTGGAGTTTCTGTCGCTGGCTCCACTGTAAATCGACCCACCGCAGTTCCTCTTCTACCTCCACCTCCACTACCACCTGAACTCTCCGAAGAGGCCTTCGAGACTACCTCCAGAGATGGAATGTTCCTGAGGCAGTGAGAAGGGGGGAGGAATATTCAAGGTTTTGGGCATTAGGGTCTTGGAAAGTCATGAAACTTATCCGTTATTAGCGCTCATGGTCCCTCCCCACAGATGAATTCGATCTTGATTAGGAGAAAGACAACCATGGTACTCATCACATTGTTTTTACAAGCTGTTTAAACCATCTTTACGTAGGGACGTGCATATATATGCCGTAAAGCTAGGAGCAGCAAATAATGATAAGACTCGAATGTCTTTATCGTGAGGTAAGAAATGAAGCGACCGAGGTTTTGCATTGTAGTATTGAACCCGAGCAAATGACGTCACTATAGACACATTCACATCAGAAGTCAACACTTCATACCCACGCACACGTACAGGTAGAGGTCTGTGTCTTTTAAAGCATATCAAGAGCACCACAAGGCCAAAGTCAGGCCAATTAAGTGGATAGCTAGCACAACGAAGTGGTTTCTTGCCCATGATTGTATGCTCCACCAAAAGTGCAGATCAAATCAACATTTACTTGTACTTTACACCGACGTCCTGATACATGTATGCGAAAATTTCACGATGTCGTATAGCCACTCAATTTGGGCCATTTGTCGCTTCATCTGGGTGCGACAAGTTGTGTAAGAAGACGTTAAAGGGAAAACAACATTAATCATCATGAGACAGATTTATGGAGACCTAAGTGTCCAGCAGCCACTTGCATTCAGTCGGTCAAAATAGAAAATACCGGAAAGAGCAACTGTAGATAGTTGTCCCAGCAAGTGAAAATAATAAAACTGCTCAAGCCGCTTTTTACTAAGAAAACCAACTCTAACTCATCTTCAGTTAAGTTTTTCGAGACAAAACCTATCAATATAAAATGCTTGAAAATATGGGGAAAAGCGAGGCTAACCATTCAGCGGTGAAACCCTAGGCAATAGAAGAAGGAATGACACTCACATCGACTGCTTTTTCAGCATTTCGGGTAAAA